GTTATCCTGATTCTAGGAAGTCGACTTTTCGCAAAATATACTATTGCACCTGGAAAGCTTACTTTGCATGATGCAAGCAGAAAATGTTTCATTCTATATGGTACTCTGTGGGATGCATCATGGCTTTTCTCCAGTCAGATTAGCACCTGGCCTTGAGAACCCTCAAGGAAAAATTTCAGCTTTGGCTATCCTCTTCCTTAATCTTCTTACTCCTTGGTGAAGGCCTTTGTGCAGGAGGTTGCACATTTAGCGCTTCCTAGATGCTCTCAGGTGATGCCATGGGATCTCAGTCCAGTACTTATGGATATTCAAAAGCCTCCGTTCAAACCTATCGTAGATATTCCCTTAGCTGAGCTCATTCACAAGGAGGTCTTTCCTGTTGCCATCCCTTCCTGCTAGGTGAGTATCAAATTTGTCAAAATTGTTTCACATGGATAAGATTGCCCTGAGTCCTAAGGCTTCCTTTTCTCCTCTTTTTACTGTAACCAGGATGTCATCCTGACATCTTTTTCTCTGATTCCTAAGCACCCTAGAGAGGTCTCTCATCACTGCTTGGTTGTGGTTTATGCTATATGAGTCTACCTGTCAGCTACGACCTCACTTTCAGATTCTCTTTTTATTGTTCCTGAAGACTCTTACAGGGGACATCCTGCCTCTCCTTCCATCATCACTAGGTGAATTCATCAGGTCATTGTTGAAGCCTATTTCCTAAAGGATAAGGTTCCTCCCTTTCCTGTTAACCACTTCAAGTCCGGGTGCTTTCACCCACTTCCAGTCCAGGCCAATTTTTAGCTTTCAGCACTATCACACTTTGAGTGTAACACTGTACCCATATGAAATTTGTATTCAGGGGTTGGCTGCATGTTTTGTTATGTATATACTGGGGCAGTGATCAGGGACACATGGGCACTGATCAGGGAGTGGCTGGAACAGCAGTCTGTGAGTGTACAAGCAGCAGAGAGAAGTGATCTTTACTTTCACTTTCCATTGTTTACTATGTGAGTGCTGTCAGCAGTCACATGGTAAAACACCATGTGATCACCCGGACACAGCGGTAATGTGATCCGCTGTGTCTGGGTTTACACCGATTGCCGGGCTCCGTGGATACGCTCCGCGAGGAGCCATAGATGCGGCTGACATACAGGCACATTAGCCCACATCGGCATAGCTTCCCGTCCACCGTCTATGTACAGTAGGGGGATGGGAAGAGGTTAAGGCCCACTCACTAGGTCTCTGGGAGTTTGCTGGGCCTTTCAACATCAGGAATTAGTTTTGCAAATTTTCAAGACTGCCACATGGTCCTCTGTTCACACATTTGCTAAGTTTTACCAGGTGCATGTTCACGCTTCTGCTGATGCCAGCTTTGACCATAAGGTGATATAAGTTAGGATCTTATATTGTGGTTTGTTTTTGTTTTATGGGCTTGTTGGCAGTTTATTTGCTGTATTGCCAACCCCTTTTTTTGGTATTGCTTTTGGATGTCTTAGTTGTCTAAGAATATGCCTGTGTCCTGTACTGAATGATCAAGAAAAATGACTTTTGGATTAACTATAAAGTACATTTCTTGGAGTACAGGGCACAAGTCCCTCCCCTCTCTCTCTTTTCATCCTTATTGTTTGCTAAAAAGCTGAGGCTGTCAGTGGGAGGGGCTATATGGGGGCCCTTACAGTTCTGTTTGGCAGTGTCCAGTCACCTGAAGGTAGCAATATATTACCCAGCCATCTAAGAATATACCTGTGTCCTGTACTGTACTGCAAAAAATGATTTTACAGGGTGGTCAAAAATCTTTTTTTGTCCCTCAATGAACAAGAAAGAAATTAGGTTTTGTACTGTAAAATCATTTCTTGGAGTCCTTTAAGAGGCACAGGTCCCAACTCCATAGACATGCGCACGGATTGTGCTGACTGTGCCTGGGCACACCCTAATCATCCCGTCCTCATTACCTCCAGCAGCTCTGTTCCCCTCAACCTGTCACTAAATACCAAAGGCAGTAGAGGAGGTTTTTGCACTACTAACATTTTCTACTGTCTTCTGTGTGCTATCACCAAGCACCCAGGGCATGTGCAAATCATATGTGGTTGTCCTGGGTCCCAACACCACAGATGGTCACATGTTTTTCACTTTCTCTGGTGCTTCAGGAATCAGCTTCTGTCCCCACCCCGTTTGTCAGAAATCTTGCACTAAGCCAAGAGGAGTGCTTTTGAAACTCCCCCTCAGCTCTGTGCTACACGGGTTTGATAAGTGGGGACTGTGCTTTGCTAAAAAGAAAAAAAAAGCCCACTCACACTTAACAGAGAAGTGCGGGATGTACCACTGTGAAGATGTGAGAGGGCTGGCGAGGGGCGGTGCAGAGTCAGCTGTTGGGAGGTTGGAGGTTTAGCACAGAGGTGCCAGTTGGATGGGGGGACTAGGGAAGAGTGAGAGCTGTGAAGCGAAAAGGGGGTGGTTGTGCAGAGAGACAGGTATGGGGAGGTTACAGGTGCCTGCACAGAGGTGAGAGCTGTGGGGAAGGGGGGGGGGGGTGCAGGTTGTACAGAGGTGGGAGATGGGAAGGGGAGCTGTTGTGCAGAGCTTGTAGCTGTGGGGGTAGTGGGGATTGGCAGGTTGTGTAGAGGTGTCAAGGGGTGTAGAGTTGAAAGGTGGAGGGTTCAAGAGGTGAGAATTGTGGATTTGGGTGAGCTGTAGATGGGGATGCAGTAGTGAAATGTGGAAGGGGTCAGAGATGAGATGTTGACAGGGGATAAAAATTGTGTTGAGGATGGGGGGATGCGAAGATGAACTGTGGACAGAAGTGCTCTGGGTAGGGGTACAGAAATGTACTGTGGACAGGGTTAGAAGAAGTGAACTGTGGACAAGGTTGCAGACTTGAGCTCTGGGTAGAGGTACGGAAATGTACTGTGGACAGGGGTAGAGGAAGTGAACTGTGGAAGTGGAAGAGGTAAGCTGTGAATAGGGGGAGCCAGGTGAGCTGTTGACAGGGGGAGACGAGTTGAGCTGTTGACAGGGGGGAGATGAAGTGTGCTGTGGACAGGGGGAGACAAAGTGAGCTGTGGACAGGGGGAGACAAAGTGAGCTGTGGACAGGGGAAACGAAGTGAGCTGCGGACAGGGGGAGACGAAGTGAGCTGTGGACAGGGAGAGACGAACAACTCAGCCACCAAGTGGTAGGCCACGTAAAATGACAGAGCAGGGTCAGCGCATGCTGAAGTGCGCAGAAGTCGCCAACTGTCTGCAGAGTCAATAGCTAAAGACCTCCAAACTTCGTGTAGCCTTCAGGTTAGCACAACAGTGCATAGAGAGCTTCATGGAATGGGTTTCCATGGCTGAGCAGCTGCATCCAAGCCTTTCATCACCAAGTGCAATGCAAAGCCTCAGATGCAGTTGTGTAAAGCACCACTGGACTCTAGAGCAGTGAAGACATGTTCTCTGGAGTGACGAATCACGCTTCTCTGTCTGGCAATCCGATGGACGTGTCTGGTGCAGTTGCCAAGAGAATGGTACTTGCCTGATTTCATTGTGCCAAGTGTAAAGTTTGGTGGAGGGGGAATTATGGTGTGGGGTTGTTTTTCAGGGGTTGAGCTTGGCCCCTTAGTTCCAGTGAAGGGTACTCTTAAGGCGTAAGTATGCCAAGACATTTTGGACAATTTCATGCTCCCAGCTTTGTGGGAACAATTTGGAGATGGCCCCTTCCTGTTCCAACATGACTGTGCACCAGTGCACAAAGCAAGGTCAATAAAGACATGGATGAGCGAGTTTGAGGTGGAATGAACTTGACTTATTTGCTTATTTGAGTCCTGGGCTCAACCTGACAGAACACCTTTGGGATGAATTTAGAGCAAAGACTGCGAGCCAGGCCTTCTCCTCTGACATCAGTGCCTGACCTCACAAATGCGTTTCTGGAACAATGGACAAACATTCCTATAGACACACAAAGGACAAAAACCTTGTGAACTTCCTTCCTAGAAGACTCTGAAGCTGTTATAGCTGCAAAGGGTAGGCCAACTCAGTATTGAACTCTATGGATTAAGACTGGGATGCCATTAAAGTTCATGTGCATTTAAAGGCAGGCGTCCCAATACTTTTTGCGAAATAGTGTGTATATATACATACATACACACACGCACACACACAGACACGTGTTTGAGCTTTGGGGTGCACACCCTAATGTAGTAGGCTGCGCACACCTGTGCCAAACTCTCTGTGCTTACGGTCATGCCGTTTGTACAGCTTTACTACAAAACAGACATGTTGGGAGTGGGATTGGGTATCCTGGGCTTGCCCACAGTTTTATTGTTTTCCAGTATCCAATCCTCCTTTAGGTGCTAGCATAACCTGGGCATTAAATCTTCCTGTGTCCCCCCCATGAGCTGTATAAAAAAAAATAATTTTATGGTGAATTCAAAAATCCTATTAAGCTAAACTCTATATCAATGGTTTACATAGATGCAATGTTCTTTGGGAACCTATAATATGGGTTTATACTTTTGACAGAACTTAGTTTATGAGTTTAAGCTTGTTGATTCTAGTTTTACTATTCAGATAGTATACTCAGAACAAAATAGGATGAGACATAATATTATCTTGCATGATTTTTTTTTTTTTTTTAAACATATTCTACTTTTGCATTGCTGCATAGGGAACATCTTGCATAAATTTAACATACAATACCATGGAGAAGGATAAGAAGAACAATATAGAAATACTATAATAGTAACAGGGAAGAGCATCACTTCAGGAAACTCATTTCACAAAACCTGATCATTTTTACAGAATGGATACAGTTTTTTTTTTTTTTTTTTTTTAATAAAAGTCCTTTGTTTCTTTTTTTTCTAGATAAAATATGCCTTTCTCCAGCAGATGAAGAATGCTGTGCTACCTTAATGGGAATTATTCCATCTGCAGTAAGTACTGTATTTTTCGTTCCATAAGACGCACCTGACCATAAGATGCACCTAGGTTTTAGAGGCGGAAAACAAGAAAAAAAATATTCTGAACCAATGGACTGCAGACATAGTACAGGAGATGACCAGAGACTGCAGACATAGTACAGGAGTTGACCAGAGACTGCAGACATAGGACAAGAGATGACCAGAAACTACAGACACAGTACAGGAGACGACTGGAGACTGCGGACACAGTACAGGAGGTGACCGGAGACTGCAGACATACTACAGGAGATGACCAGAGACTGCGGACATAGTACAGGAGATGACCAGAGACTGCGGACACAGTACAGGAGATGACCAAGAGACTGTGGACAGTGCAGGGGATGACCAAGAGACTGTGGACAGTACAGGGGATGACCAGAGACTGCGGACAATACAGGGGATGACCAAGAGACTGCAGACAGTACAGGGGATGACCAAGAGACTGCGGACAGTGCAGGGGATGACCAGAGACTGCGGACATGGTGCAGGAAATGACCAGAGACTGCGGACAGTGCAGGGGATGACCATAGACTGCGGACACTGCAGGGGATGACCAGAGACTGCGGACAGTGCAGGGGATGACAAGAGACTGCTGACCTTTGGGGAGGGAGGGGGAGCGGGTACCTGAATTTGACAATAACTGTCAGATTAACCTGCAGTCTACAAGTGGACTGGACACTGGCAAACAAAAAATTGTAAGGGTACCCAGGATAACCCCTACTATTACCTGCATGCCTTAGTGAGTTAGCAAAGCAGAACCAAGAGCTTGAGCATAAACATAGAGGGGGACCTGTGTTCCTCAATGGATTCCAAAAAGGATTTTGGGGTGCAAAATTGAATACAAAAATCATATTGATTTTTGTCTATTGAGGAACATAGAAAGTCATTAACTGTCGGGATGTCCAAAAGCAGTGAAACGGAGGGGTAAGCACCAGGAAACAAAAACTAAAAGGCCTACTTAAAACAACAGAATGGGGGGCTGCCTGCAGCTCAAAGAGACAGCTGAAGGACACTATGCAGGAAGCTGGCATCAGATGAGGCCTCAGCATCCACTTAGAAAGTTTGTGCACAGAAGACCAGGTGGCATCCTTGAAAATGTGGAAGTCATCTGATAACCCCCCACTACCAGCATACCCAAGTTTTGTAGTAAAGCAGTACTGAGAGAATGATCATAAACATGGAGAGGTGGAGCTAGATTCCAAGAAAAAGACTTCATGGTAAGAACATTTTCTTTCTTGCTGGAGGGAACCAGGAAGTATTAAACTTTGGGGACATCCAATACCAGCCCATGTGAGGGGTGGAAAACAAGGCAAGCGATCACTGACATGCTGAAGAAAACAAAAAATATGCACTGCCTGCAGCTCAAAAAGCCACCTGAAGGACTTTTCGTCCAAAGCTGGCATCAGATGAGGCCTGAACATCCACCTGGAAAGAAAAAATGTTTGAACAGAAGACCAGGTGACAGCCTCGCACATCTGGGAGACACTAGTCTGATACTGAAGAGCCCAGGAGGTACTAGTAGATCTGTCAGAGCGTGCCTTGACAGAAAAGGGTGGAACCCTATGCTTAAAGTGGAACTTTAAAAAAAATAAAAATTGACAGACGGGAATTTTAATGCAGAAGAGACATGCTTTGTCTCTTCTGCATTAAAGTTACTTAACTGCCTGTCCGCCCCTGTGCATGCGCAGCTCACTGTACAAATTAGGCAATTCCAAATCTGATGAAACTCCTCTGCATGCACAGGAGTGAAATCATTCCTGCCCTGCAAATGACAGCAGGCGGCGATTGAGACCTGGAAATCAGTGGCCGGGGCGGGTAGCAGATGGACACCGCATCACTGGAACTACAATTACATTTCTTTTTCACCCACTGGGGGCACAGGAAGCCATTAACTGTTGGGTTATACTGCCTCCTACAGGACGTTTTGACACTGGCAGACAATACACAAAGTAGGGGGACTTCTGTTAGTCTTTGCGGACACCTGAACAGCCTGTATCTCAGATGTTTGGATGCAGGAGGTGGTTTCCAAGGGCAACAGGCTTATCACTTTTAATCTTCCTATGTCACTGCACAGATTAGCAGATCTCCAGGCAGCCCTAGTGGATCCCTGCCACTCAGCCTTTCTGCATCTCCTGCACTTCAGATGTTCACCAAAGTGTTTGCCCCAGTACTAGCCTTTGCTATGTTCTCAGGGCATTCCAGTAGAGGGATACCTAGATGAATTCATCCATTGTATGGATGTGGTTTGGACAATGAAGGTCTATGTCTCCATCAGTGTTTACTTCAGAAAGGCTGACTCTCTATTTGCCATTCCAGATGGTCTCGTTCTGCCATTTCTCAGTGGCTCAAACCATTATTCAAGCTCAAGATCTTAAACAAAAGGTTCTAACTTTTCCATTCAAAGCACGCTTTACTAGATCTGTGAGTGACTCTTGTGCTCTTTATCATCAGGCTACTGTCTCCTATATCGCAAGGTTGCTACCTGGTCTTCTGTTCACATACTTTTACATTCTGCCACGTGAATGTTCAGTCCTCATTAAATGTCAGCTTTGGGCATAAGACCCTTCAAAGGTTCCTTCTTTAATCTGCAGGCAGTCCCCAGTTCTGTTGTTTGAACTGCTTTTGGATGCCTCCACAGTTAATAACTTCCTGTCTCTCAATGGACAAAAAAGAAAATAGGATTTTTTTTTACTTGCCCTAAAATGCTTTTATTGGAGTCCATTAAGGACATGGGTCCCACCCCTCTGCGCTCATGGTCATGCTGATGGTACTACTTTGTTACAAAGTTAACGCATGCTTGTAGTAGGTGGGGTGACATTTTTTTTTTTTTTCAGTGTTCAATCCTCATGTAGGAGGCAATATAACCCTGAACATATCGACTTCCTGTATCCCTTAATGGACTCCAAGGAAATATTTCTACAGTTAGAAAAACAGGCCTATTTTGTCAATTTTAGTCACATTTCCATAATTGTACTTTGGTTTCTTACACTTTTCTTTTGAACAAGTGTTGACAATTATTAACTTGAAGAATAAAATAGATAGACAGAAATTGGTAAAAAAAAAATGCACAGGAACTTTGTGTCTTCCAATGTATAACAGAGTTTTGTCTTAGGCTTTGTGTGCTTGGGTGTTTAGTATGTTCCATTTTAGCTCAACTCCACTCACAACATGATAAAGAGACCTCCAAATGCTGCATACACCTCCACATTTAGTTTCCTAAATAGTTTTGGGTTAATTTTTTATTTTATGACTGTCATAGAAGTGTATTTAAAATATATGGAGTTTTTATATTAGAATGTAGTTTCAGAATTGTAACATCTTTTCTGCTATTGCACAATCAAGACTTGTGCAAGTGAATTATCCTTATCTATGTAAATTATTTTTATAGCAGGATAACTTTAAGGATGCAGATGAGAGCTCTGAGACCAGTTATTTTACACCAGAACCTGAATTGTCTGTTGAAAATTCACAAGAAACGGTAATATCAGTGAAAAACGGCATATAGTCAACCACCCACATTGCTTTGATACTGTTAGTTGTGTACTTTTTATGAGCATGAAATTAATGTTCTCCTATAATCTATCATGTGACATTGCCTGACTATAGGTGAGTAGATGTCTGATAGGGTGTCAGAGCACCTGTGATGCCTGACAGTTACACCAGTGCACGTATTCCATAAGGTTGGAAAAATCTCCCAGTGCACATACTAGCACCTCTGACTGGAGGAGTTTGTTATAGCTTCTTGAGAGATCAGAAAAGTTTCAGTGTGTATACACATTTATTATAATAATATAATGATTAGGTTACTAGGTTTTAAAGGGTTAATTCACCTAAAACAGAAGTCAAAAGGGATTCATAGTCATGAAAACTTTACCTATCCCTCTCTGCGGACATTCTGCATTTGTGTGCTGAACTCAAAAGATATGCCTGGAGCTACATACCGCCTGATGCATTGTGCCTGCTACTTGATTGGGATCACATGGACAAGATTTTCACCCCTCTCTATGCAGTGTATGGGCCTTCAAGTTTGGAGAGCAGAATGACTTCTCACTCCTCAGTAAATTTGCTTACAGAATCTCTCCATGGTGTTAGTCTAGCGGAGTTAGATTTTTGTTTTTGCATTTTGTAACCTGATTTATGACTGCATTAACTTGCTAGCAGAATGTTCTTCTTAGTTGCAGAGTATTTCTCACTCCCTGTGTTGGTGTACAGTGTTAAAAAATAAAGTGTCCCAAAGTATGGAGAAGCAGCAGCCATGTTTTTTGAGACCAAACACAGGGAGGACGTTGATTGGTTGTCACCACAGCCTAATACAAGAAGCTTGCACCTAGCAGCCAGCAAGGGATATGAACTATGCAGGACTGGGAGAGACACACATGCTGCTGCTGAGACCAGGGGGGGAGCCTGTGTGTGTTGAGCTATGTGACTACAGGATAGATTGAGTTGAGCTGCATTTGACAAGAGATGCACAGATGAGAGACTGGCTGCTGTGACAGACTGGGGGTGAGACAATCTGCATTCCTGTGACTGTGCTGAACCAGTAAAGAACTGCTACTGCCAGAGACTAAACTGACATAGAGTGGAACTGCTGCGTGCAAGCAAAGAAACATCGTTCCCAGCTTGCCTGAGAGAGCATTGTGGGACTGCTGTCTCCTCAAGGGAAGAGGAAAGCTACTTCTAGAGTTGCAAATTCAAGAGAGAAATAGAATCATGATATCCTCCACCATCGGCTTCAGAGAAGGCCCCTCATAACTCTCGCTGGTCTTCAGAAGTCATGCCCAAATTATAAAGATTGATGAGGAGCCTTGTGGACGCAAAACTTTTTATACTTTATGTAAGCATTCCAATGTGAAAATAAGGGCCCCAATTCCATCAGAGTTTAGTCTACAAGTCAGTGGTAAAAGTAGAGACCCTTATCATAGTTACTTAGAATTACCTCACCACTGGTGTGCATGCTCGGAGCCGACGGGACAGTCATGTCCGTCTGAGGCTCCGGCACACTATGGGGAATCAAGCCTCCCAGTCACTGCTTCCGGCCCGCTACGGTCCCGCAACTCGGCTGGTTGCCATAGCAACCCCGTGGTACCTGTCAGTATGGTCCGGGGAGCGGTGAAGCAGTCTCATCAGCCGTCCGTGAAGCCGTACAAAGAGGCCCTGGCTCGGGCCTCGTCCAAGATGGCCACCACACCTGCATCCCTCAGACAGGCACAGCCTTATGCAGCACTGCAGGATGTGCATTCCAGATCCCGCTGCACGTCTGATGCTGAGTGTGACTGACCTGGGGACCCCCCTTCACACCCCTACCACTGACCTTTCTTCTCCTGACCTTTTGCTCCACAAAGCCCTGAAACAGACCTCAGACCGCATTACTGACAAACTGTCTAATGAAATCTGTGAATTAGGGCAGCACACCTCTGACTTTGAACACCGGGTCGACGACCTCGACACTACACTCCAAACCCACCCTGGTGATCTCGAACTCCTTCACAATGAAAACGTGAATCTGCAGGCCTGTTTGCAGGATTTTGAAAATAGGGCCTGCCGTTCGAACTTACGCATCCGCGGCCTACCGGAATCCATCACGGATGTTTTATCCACAGTAAGGGCCCTTTTTCAAAAATTGGCCCTTGGAATCCCTATAGAACGCCTTGAGATGGATAGAGTCCTTAGAGCGCTAACCCCACGTTATCCAGATGGC